TCCTCTGACCCCACTTTCTTCCAACACTAAAGCACTAGGGTGCTCACCAGCCTTCACGGACCAGCCTTCACGGCTGTTACCACACTCCTCTTGGCACCCTCCCACTTCGGGTTGGATCCAATTTAATGTCGACGAGACCCTTCTTCCTTTCAACCTTGTGGCAACTGGGATCATTCTTCATGATGAGTTGGGACAACTTGTGGTGGTTGCGGGCCGCAAGTTTCACCATTGGGACAAAACACATGTAGAGTTGGTGGAGGTTTTATTTTTTGAGACCTTCTTGAAGATTGGATAGCTTAAGGTAAGGGGCTCATTATCGAGGGAGATAACTACAACATCATTAATTTCCTTAGAAGCGCCTTGGACAAGAAGGCACTGCAACATAACATTCTCGACAATTTAAATATTGGTTTCTTGCTTAAATTCGAGCAAGTTTTGTTCCTTCATACCAATAGAGAAAACAACATAGCTACTCACACTTGTGCAAAGAAAGCCTTTGCTAGTGATTTGTCTTGTGTCATGTTCATAAGCAAGATACTCTTTTTTTTATTTTACAGGTGGATATTGATCATTTTATAAATGAACGAGGGGCATAGGTTTTCTGGTTTCTTTTTTGGGCATATTGGGTCATTTATTTTATAAATTTTTTTATGTTATTTTAATGCAAAATACACACTCTTTAAAAAAAAAGATTAAAAATTAACCCAAATGAGCTCAAATTGAGCTAGGCTTGATTCTTCCACCACTTACATCCCTCTACAAGCATAAAATATATACCATAACTCTATATTGCATTTTTGCATTATAAAATAAATATCATATCCATTTTCAACCTTAATATGATCATGAAGTCTCTGATCGCTATCACAATCACTCTTCTAATAAGAAAGGGATCAAGTAGTTAGGAATTTGGGTCAAAAGCCATCAACTGAGGAATGAAGGATGCCACCTATCTTTGATAATAACTTACAAGTGACATTGGATGGTGTCCACTATGACCATTGATTTTGGTTGACAACAATTGTTAGGTGATATTGTGCTGGGTTTTAAAATTCTATGCAAACTCCATATTTCTTTTATGTTGAAAATGTCTTGAATGTATAAAATAGTGTGTTATTTTGACCCTCAATTAATGAACTAAGGTAAAAGGGCAACTTTGTAACATGGCCACCACCTACCACATCTCACCTACCGCTCACTTACCGGCCACCTACCTCCCACCTACCACTCTCTTGCTTCTATAAATAGAGAGGGTGTGAGGCTTAGGAGTGCAAGGGAAAAGATATCTTAAGCTACCACAAACGAGGAGAGAATAGCTATAGAGTTAGAGAGGAGGAGAGCATCTTGAGGCCTTGTATCAAGGTGTCGCTTGAGAGGGAGGCCATAGAAGGAAGATGAGGGCTCATCTCTATGTATAAGCTATGTATTCTCTATTTCTTTTGCCTTAGTGAAATATTTGATTGATTCCCTCTCGTGGACGTAGATCCAGTTGGATCGAACCACGTAAACGATCTGTGTTTGCTTGTGTTCTTTTTCGTGTCAACCGTCTGCTACCTTATCAACAGATGCCCATCAACTGCTATCGATATGAAGACACCTTCGGAAATGTTGTACGGAAAACCAGGTAATTATGATAATCTCAAAGTTTTTGGATGTACTGCATATGCTCATGTTAGACAGGATAAGCTGGAAGCAAGGGCTCTGAAGTGCATTTTCATTGGATACCCACCTGGAACCAAGGGCTACAAACTCTGGTGCCTAGATCAACAAAAATGCATCATCAGTAGAGATGTGGCATTCGATGAGTCCAAAATGGCGAATCTGTATAGCCATGCTGCCAAAAACAGTATAACCAAGAAGGATTCTTCAATTGAGGTGGTGCTGCAACAACAATGAACTTTGACAGATCAAAGGACTGTTGTGAACAATCAGGATGAAGTGGCAGAGGAGCAGCAAGTGATTGAGCCAGAAAGAAGATCTGATGACTACAGCTTGGTAAGGGACAGACAAAGAAGAACTATCAGACCGCCAGATAGATACGGCCATGCAGATATAATCTCATATGCTTTAAGTGTTGCCGAAGAGATAGAAGAAGCAGAACCGAGCAACTACAAGGAAGCCCTAAAGAGCAAGGAAAGACTCAAGTGGGAAGAGGCAATGGATGAGGAAATGGCTTCTCTGATAAAGAACAAAACTGAGAACTTGTGGATCGACCAAACAACAAACGAGTGGTTGGTTGCAAGTGGATCTTTAAGAAGAAAGAAGGCACGCCATGTATTGACCGGATCAGGTACAAAGCCAGACTCGTTGCAAAGGGATTCACTCAGGTAGAAGGAATCGACTTCAACGAAATCTTCTCACCCGTCGTGAAACACTGCTCCATTAGGATAGTCTTAGCACTAGCAGTTCAATTCAATTTGGAATTAGAGCAGCTAGATGTTAAAACTGCATTTCTACACGGAGAGTTGGAAGTCACATGGATCGGCCAGATGGATATTGCACACCTGAGAAAAAGGACAAAGTTTGCTTGCTGAAAAAATCTTTGTATGGACTGAAACAAAGCCCCAGACAATGGTACAAGCGATTTGATGAGTTCATGCTAAAGATCGAATTTGTCAGATGCAACTACGACAGTTGCGTGTACATGAAGTGGCAAGATGGTGAAATAAGTACCTACTTGCTTCTTTATGTGGATGATATGTTAGTAGCCAGCAGAAGCAAGGAGGAAATCCAGAAGATCAAAGGTATGCTAAATTCTGAATTTGACATGAAGGACCTAGGACCTGCTACAAAGATCCTAGGGATGGAGATTACTAGAGATAGGAAAAATGACACCTTATTCTTATCTCAAAAGTTATATATTCAGAAGGTTCTAGCAAGGTTCAACATGCATGAGGCTAAGCAGGTTGCAACACCTATTGGCCAACACTTCAGATTGTCAAACTCTCAAGCACCGGAGACTGAAGAAGAGAAAAGGTACATGGAGGGTGTCCCTTATGCCAACGGGGTTGGTAGCATCATGTATGGGATGATCTGCAGCAGACCAGATTTGGCCTATGCCGTTAGCATTGTAAGCAGGTTCATGGCAAACCCAGGACAGGCTCACTGGGAAGCACTAAAATGGATCTTGAAGTACCTGAGAGGCACTACAGACCTGGGTCTACTCTTTAAAAGGTAGGAAGACAAATAAGAAAAAGTAGTTGGTTACGTGGACTCAGATTATGCAGGAAGCATTGACACCAGGAAGTCACTGACCGGATTCATTTTCATTGTCTTCGGTATCGCAGTCAGTTGGAAGTCTAACCTCCAATCCGTTGTGGCCCTCTCGACAATAGAGGCCGAATACATCGCTGTGACTGAAGCAATCAAGGAAGCTATGTGGCTAAAGGGCATGACTGAAGAGCTTGGGATACATCAGAAGGTGATAACTGTGTTTTGCGACAACCAAAGCACCATTCACCTAACCAGAAATCAGGTATTTCATGAAAGATCTAAACATATAGATATAAAGCTTCATTTTGTGAGGGATGTCGTTGCCAAGGGTTCAATAGTAGTGGAGAAGATACCTATTGAAGAAAATCCTGCCGATATGCTCACCAATGTGCTACCGACAACTAAGTTCAGACACTGTCTGGACTTAGTAAACTTCACCAAGGGCTGAGGCCCTCTCAGGGGCCAGGTGGAGGGAATCTTTACTTCGAAGCTTCTCAATTGAGGGTCAAGGTGGAGAATTGTTATTTTGACCCCCAATTAATGAACTAAGGTAAAAGGGCAATTTTGTAATGTGGCACCGCCACCTACCACATCTCACCTACCTCTCACCTACCGGCCACCTACCTCCCACCTACCTCCCACCTACCACTCTCTTGCTTCTATAAATAGAGAGGGTGTGAGGCCTAGGAGAGCAAGGGAGAAGATATCTTGAGCTACCACAAAGGAGGAGAGAATAGCTATAGAGTTAGAGAGGAGGAGAGCATCTTGAGGCCTTGTATCAAGGTGTCGCTTGAGAGGGAGGCCATAGAAGGAAGATTAGAGCTCATCTCTATGTATAAGCTATGTATTCTCTATTTTTTTTGCCTTAGTGAAATATTTGATTGATTCCCTCCCGTTGACGTAGATCCAATTGGATCGAACCACGTAAACGATCTGTGTTTGCTTGTGTTCTTTTTCGTCTCATTTCTATGTCAGGAAGTACATATCTCACAACATAGTGGCTTTGTAAGAAATTAATGTAGGGAGCACTGATAAAAAATTTTTTCTTATAGGCCATTCGATATTTCATGGATATTTTACTACTTTAATGGACAACTTAAATTCATCAAGTCAAATGTTCATTTGAATAATATCAAACAAAATTCTAAGTTTATTTGATCTTATAAACAATCGTGAAAAAATTTATAATCACACATGTTCCCATTTGAACTTGAATTATGGCATTCTCGGCATTTTTTTTATTCCTCTCGCCAAAATTGCTCTGTTATGAGTAGGAAGTTGTTAAGAGGGAGTTTAGATGTTCCTAAAATCAATTTATAAAATTTTTAGCCAAAATATTTCAGTGTTTTAAAATCTACTAATTAAAATTTGTGTTTGATCAAAAAAAAATTTTTGGGCCTTTAAAAATGACATAAATATATGAAATAAAAGAGCGTATAAGGCATTTACATGCATACCGCACAATTCATTATTATGTAACTATTTATTTAACACCTCAATTTTCATATTTAACATCATATCATTTTGAAAATACAATTAGTATTTGCAGTTTAAAAATGGCATAAATTTATGCACTAAAATGTTATGAAACCTGGGTGTTACCATGTAAATATATGAGAATTGTGTGGTATATATGTAAATTTTCCAAACAAATATTACCCTCTTGTAGAGTTCAAAGCAACCATGGAACCAACAAATATTAACCTTATATTAAAAGCGCACAGCATTTACGCTCAATTTATCTGTAAGTACGACACTACAAAAATACCCCTTTTTTGGCTTTTTTAGGTAGAGGGTGGGGTCATATATTAGACCGAACCAGCTTCTTCACCATCAGATTTATCCTGAAGAAATGTTTAGACAACTAAAGATGTCATGCATATGCAACTTACATACTAGAACGTAAAATTTTTCATTATTGTGGTATTTGCCTCCATAACCACACAATTATATGTATTTACATATCTTACATCTGAACTTTCATATTTATATTCATAGCACTTAAATCTTTAACATTAGATAAAAAAACCACTATTAATTACTTTTGAAAAGTGAAATACATCTTTTCATGAATACTTTTCATGCACAAGTTCAAGACACTAAAGTGTTATAAATGTACTAAAAATACTTTGGGAGTTAGATATGTAAATATATTAGAACTGTTTGGTAAGCATGTAAGTAAAATAGGAGTCAATCTGAATAAATGAAGTTACAAGAAATACAATACAACAACAAGAAGAAGTGAAGTACAAAGTGAAATACCAAGAGAAATACAATCAAGTTACGAGAAATTCAATAAAAAACTAAATACCAAGTGAAAAAATAAGCATGAAATAACTCCAATTACATGCCTTCCTTTACTTACACATTCATTAAGTATTTATATACATACTACACATTCATTAAGTATTTTGCATGCCTAACATCTAAACTTTCATATTTATACACATGACACCCAAATGTTTAATGTTACATAAAAAACCCCCCCGTTTCTCTCTTTTTAAAAGTGAAATACTCTTTGTTTCATGCATAAGTTTATGCTCATAAGTGTTACAACTGTAAATTTGAAAGTTCTGGTGTTTCATATGTAAATACACAACAATTATGTGGTATGTATGTAAATTTTCTTAAATTCTATTTTTACTTATTTTTTCTACAGCACAGTGCCATAAATAAACTGATAATGGCAGTGGCCTTGAAAAGCAGTAGAAAGTTTCATTTGAAAGAAGAAATGAAGCTAGTCTCAAAAAAGCTTATAGAGGGAATAGATGTGTGAATGTTTAAGATTCAAAAAATTTATATAGAAAATCATAACATGCTGTACACACGTTTTCAAGCAATTCATAGAATTTCCGGTGAGTTTTGAAGGTTTGAGCACCTCCTGTCTGTGCATTATAGCATACACAACTTGTAATAAGCAATGGATGAAAATAAGTGTTTTGGCACCTCACATAAACCAGAAAAGGCAAAGACTTATTGCCGAAGAACATACCTCTGGATTCTTGGCAAAGCATACGTGAGAATGGCATTCAAAATTTCCAGCACAATTCTTAAAAATTCAGCTTAAATATAAAGATCTGTTGACTATAATTAATTTTAAATTCCAGTCAATAGAGAGTAATAAGATTTAAAACATACAGACAGAAAAAGATTGTGTTGTATGGATCAAATTTGTATGGATCAAATTTGATTTACAGAATAACTTAAAATAAGACAAATTTACCATATCCTCAGCTATCATTCCTCCTCCGGCTTGGTCGATAGAAGCATTGAGACATTTATCATTCTTTTTTTCAGCTAATTTTGAGTACTATGAATATTATAGGAAATCAAAGGCTCTATAACAGTTTCACTGCAGCATTGCATCATCAAAGCACAAAATTACTATGAAATCAGACTGAAAAATGTAAATTTTCGAGCAAAGACATGAGAAATTGAGAAATGACAAAAAGCACATACTTTCGTGCAAGTATGTCAAAAAGGCTAACGAGACTCTGAGATGCATATGATGATAATCTGAGTGCATGAGGTGTCATATTGACCAATATGGCCATACAGTTTGTATGAAGATAGACATCCTGACAAGCGCTTGGAAATTTAAAACCTTAAAAAAAAAAATTGCTTTTAAATTAAACAATACAAAAATTTTAAAAATAAATTCAAATTGAATACAAGACATTGCATTTTAATAAAACTTCTTGCAAATTGCCTCTGCTAGCATTGATGTTGCTTTAGTTGAAATCATTCGAATGATCTTTTTTTAATATTAACTCAATAGTAAAATGCCTGTGGTGATGATCCATTTAAAGAACTAATTCTGTTGTCTGACGTTTGCATAGTTCAGTTCCGCTTCCTATGCCCATTAGGGTCATAACCGTTCATTGCTTATGACTCCCGGTTCAGAAATTGTTTGAAATGAGGAAACTAAAAATTGCACCAAATCCAATGGAAAACGGGAATGACAACAAATGATTGTAAAAACGAAGTTGAGAAGCTATAAATGGTTGATGATAAGGATCAAGATTATAATAAGATTATCTTATATTTGCCTGCAATACAGCCTAACAAATCAAGTGTCTTGAGTGGTTTTTTGAAAAATGATAATTACAAAATATGCAAATCCTACAAGTGTTTCGATTCATAAATTTCAAATATTTGAACATATAATAAATGAAAAATATGTTACTAGCCCGCACTCATATCCACCAATCATTTGGATAATTAAACTTTAACAACTAAACTTTACCTTCATCGTACAAGGAAATCCATATATATAACATTAAATTGAATATTTGTGTTTACAAACAATGAAAAAAAAATTGCAAATTGGAAACTCTCTCTTTCAATCATCCAAAATAATAGTAAAACATGAAACGATCAGAAGAAAAAAAATGAAAATACGGTTAACATGTCTTGTCAGTACAGTAAATTTTACTAAGTCATGCACGCTTAGCTGCATGTTACGAAAGCTGCGTCAATATGAAGTATCTTATACTATGATAAGTGCCTACGGATACAAAGTAGAAGACTATCAAAATTTTCACAACATGCTCCAATATTAATTACAACACAAAACCTTTGTCGCAACTTTCATGTTAACAATTTAAATAAACATAGAAATAAGCTCCAAAGAATAAAACAATACTGCTTTTGTTCATAATGGCATTCTAAAAGCTCCATCGATGAAACAAGCGGTAATTATAAAAAACTAAATACCAAGAAGAAAATCTGTTCCTAGTTCTAACAAATTCGACTTTAAAAGTTTTAAGTGCGGGATGTTTCATAAAAAGAGAAAAACTGATGTATAATTATAGAACAAGGTTAGGCATCCTAAAATTCATCAAAAGTTTATTGCAAAATTAATGAGTAAATGAGCTAACAACAAAAAGAGTGGCAAGAGTTACCCTTAGCTTGGAAAGATTATACATACAGTTCCAATGAGAACTAAAACCATCAAAGATCCAAGAGATGTATGATGCACTAAGCGTTCCTCATACCATGGCACACTAGGAAGTATCTGAAAGGACGGATAAATTTAATAGAAGTATAAGTGGAAGGGCTAATTGAAAATCAACCAAATAATACCAGTTTATGAATGCTGGCATGAATGAAGAATCCTGGCTTAGAATGAGAAGAATAATTAATAGCATATAGATCTGATCGGGCGTCCTTTTTGAAACATTATAAAGTGTTTCCAGAATGGGCGGGCAGCTGTCCCCAACTAATAAGATCAATGCTCTTCCATACTTCCATCAACTTGATTTTTCAAACAAAGTCACCCTTAACACTCAAAGATTTATATAACTAAGAGGAATATGTAAATGTTGACAAAATTCAGATCCAGCTAAATTGCCTTCCAAAGCAGAACTTCTATAGTTTTGAAGTACAAAATAAAATTACCATCAGTAATACAACCAAAGTCTAGCAGCCTTTTATTTGTTAAAGAAATAAAATGCATTTAATTTTTTGCGGTGCAAGAGATAATTTAACATCTTATGAAGGGTTATTAGGTTCACAAAAAAAATAAAAAAATAAAAAAATAAAACTTACCAGTATATCCTAATCAGTTCGCACCAAAATGTATTCTAGAAAAGCAAAGTTCCCATACACAAAACAATAGGGCAGCAAGACAGCACTTTCATCGGACAAAATCCTATCAAACAAGAACAAACTTAGTACGTGCAACCAATTTCCTCAGACTTGCTTATAGGAGATGGAAGGATGGTGTCCCAGGATACTTAAAGGGAGAAAAAATACCGATTTGATAATTTTAAAAAGTATCATCAATTAAATTATATTTAAGAAGAATTAATACAATATGTAAAATAGCAAAAAAATTATATAAACAAGTTTTGGATAACTTACAAGGATGCAAAAGGCAATCTCACTAGAGACTCTCTGTGTGCATTGCCCTCAATATCAGCACGATTAACTACAAGAAAATGTAAAGGTAAAGGCAACATTATCATTGATATGAACTAAGCATTTGCAAGAATAGCAACAGCGCAACATTCCTTACATTTACAATCACTGGCATTGTTTAATGCCTTGGAGTGAGGATTGTCATAAAAACAAGAGGCTTGTTTAAGGCACAATTCAGAATCAACATGTTCGGCCTCAGGCATTGCACAGGTATGACCGATCCAGTGTAACATACGCTCGATCTATCGATAAAATTCAACAATAGTCTGCGTACTACAGAAGCCACAAAGTCACCATCCTGCATGATAAAGTTAAGACTATCTAATTTGCACAGGAATTTTCATATTTTCGTCCATCTAACACTCTCAAAGCAGAAGATATATAATCCAAGTATCATCTGATTATTGCAGCATCGATGAAACGGTGCACATCTTTTGGCCCTAAACGTAGCTGAGTTGACATTGCCGCCAGAATAAAGTTCAGCACTTCATGATGGAGGACGTATGAATGTGCACTTGCACCAAGATTGTGACAACAAATCAGAAGGACAATGAAAAATCAGTGGGATGTAAATGAATTCCAAATAAACAAGAAATGTGCCTAGGATCTGATTTACCAATGAAATTAAGCACCTTTTGCATGATAAAATTCTCTATGCTCTGCCCTACATAAGAGAAAACAATATGTAAGCCTCAAAAGTTCAAGCAATAGGTCATGGAAACTATCTGATCAAACAGAAATATAATTTTGATAATGTTAACTGTCTCCTAAAATCGAGGAGGAGGATGGAGATAGAATTATGCATCATGAAATGTCTGAGACAACCCGATCAATATAAAACTAGCTGACATCATTTTTTTGAATCAAACGGAATGGAAAACCCAAAATGGTATAAACAATAGATTTAAAAGAAACGTTATACCCATGAGGAGAACATCCTTGTCCATGCCAATTTCAGAAAGGCTAAGATAAATCTCTTGAAAAGTGCCACTTTTTCCATTTTCAGTGATGTATTTGAGAAATACAGACGATATATATGCTGCATTGATAGCTTTTGAATGCATAGAGGATCCAGATGAAGCTGACAAAGATTCTTGTAAAGACAACAGCAAGTGAATCAAATCCTTTGCCAGATTTCTGGTGTGATAATTATTCTGCACTACAAAGGTATTAGAAAAGTAACCACATTAAATAGCCGTGACAGTTGAATATGAAGATTTTCTACTTATATACGTGATAAGTCCGGTACTATTTTTCATTGGTCACTTTTATCAGTGCAGGTTTGAGGAAGAATAAAGTACAAGAATTTGAAGTTGAAATACATTTTTATTAGCAATTTAAAGAGTCAACACATCTTTTCGTGTCAATTATAAGCATTCTTTCAACAGATTCAAGCATACTACATTTTATGTATAATAAAAAACATTGTCATTCATAGAGATATCAAAATTGCACGCTTTCAAAACATTGAATTTATCCTTTTTAGCAAAAATCTCAATCATCAATTAATTGACATAATTATTAAGTAAACCACAGCTCAGAACTTCATTGGGCTCAACAGTGATATGTTCTTTTTATAATTATTTTTTATGTAAGAACTATGTAGGATTTATGTCTACAAGTCAACGTAGCATTGAGTAAGAAAATTGCAATGCCAACTAACTTAGAAGATTAAAGGTACCATCATATGTCGAGGTAAAGCATAGAAAATGGCAACCACGTAATGTTACGTATGTCTAATATCCCTAAAGCAGTTTGATTTCAAAGAGAAAGCCACATAAGAAATATGTAAAACAATAACTGCCTAAAAATTTTCATTAAGAAAAAAAATAATGAATTATACTTGCACACACTAAAATTTTGAATTCAAATCTTAGTCGTCCGACACTTCAACTATTTTATAGTTAGATGGCAAGATACAAGCTTTGGATATACTTAAAATAAGTGTTCTTCATTTCAAGCTTAAAAGAATCTCATCAAGAGTAAATATGCTCAAAAATAGTATATAATCTTTCCCTTCACAAAATTGTAAAAATATCCTCCATATACTCTTAAATGATTGTAATATTTTTCTCTTAAAAACTTTCAAAATATTTCCTTTGAAAAGAATAACTGTAAGTGACATTCACTATTCATACTTTCTATGATGAAGTTATGATCTTTATTCATTCTAAAAAGATTGTTTTTATTTGGATGAATTTGAATTAAAGAATTACATTTGAGGTTTCTGCATATAGAATCAAGGCTTCATATTTCCCCAAAATAAGAAATTGAATAAATGACTCATATTTTCTTAATTTTTTTTGAATTCATATGAAAACACATGGTTGGCAAGAATTGAGGCATAAGGCGATCTTTCGTGTGACATATGGATTGCCTATTGATGCTTACAACCGTACCCTGCATTTTAAAAGCGCTATTTCCAAAAGGCTCAAATCAATAATTTTATATACATCGCCATGGTGGCAAGCCACTTTTACCAAGTATGGATTCTTTGCTTTTTATTGAATGGTCTCAAAGTCAAAATGATGTCAACCATCCCATCACTCCTAGAACACCCTCGCAGATGCCCATTCAGCATGACAGGCCATCATCATCATCATCATCATCATCATTATTATATTTTATTTTTCTCTATGTTTAAAGTGTGAATACGCATATCATAAAGTTTGCAATTGCGTGAGGAAATACAAATGGTAATTGAAAGAGCAACATAACTTGACAGTAAACAGAATGCTAGTGTCAAAGACTTGTTGTCCAGATGCAATATGAAGCCCCTCAATATAACCAACACGAGGAGACTTGACAACATGCTGAAACAACCAACAACAAGATTAGTTCATGCAGAATAGGTTCATCAAGAAAACACTCAGGAGTATGAAACTAAGGTCCACCCCACCTCCATTTTCATGGCCCCAAGAACTGGAACAGGCTGCCCTTCGTCAACCTTTGCCCCATTGTCTAGCAAAACCTTGACCACTAAAACTTTGAAACAAAGAAATTTAGGATATGTATAAAGAACTCGTACATAAATAGGAGAAAAGAAGCATACAAGTATGAGGTCTCAAAAATTGATTTAAGTGTTATAGAAAGAGTAGCAGCATAGGGATGAAATAAAGGCACAAGTTTCACGGGAAAGAAGGCTTAAATGCATAAATTATGATCATATAAGTTCACATCCAAGATGATCGGATTACTATGAGAATTGATCTGCTAACACTGCTATTTACACATATCAGTTCAAATTCAAGCCCATATTTAGTACCACAACTAAATATCTTCCTATCGATACACAGTTGCTGACCAGTTTCAAGGGTTCTAGGCATTTTCCATCAAGTTCATTCTCCCACTCAAGTTCTATCAAACGCTTAACAGAGTGATGCATTCAAAAAGGTGGATTAGAATACCACAATGAAACAATTTGTCCCCACCTGCAAATGTTAATTTACTTCAGATTCTAACACATCACTAGCTGAAAAAGACTAGAAAACAAGGTTAACAAAAATATAGCCAACCAGGATAGTTTTCCTTGTAGGTGTTATGGTCGTTTTCACAGATGCATGCTGCAACAAATGCTGCACCAAGTTTGGAGGAAGCAGATGTCCCGGCTGCTATATCAACTCCTGAATCAATGAAAAGATCCTCTTTGAAATGCTCAATGAAATGTGTTTCAACTAAGCCCTTCTCAAAAGCCCAATGGTTTGCGAGTTTGTACAGAAAACCTATATTAGTCGGCAAACCTGCAACCTACATTCATACAAGAGCAAATGCAATGTAAACATTACAGGTTTCCCAAGACAAACAATAGAAAAGAGGCAACAAGGCAACTGCAACTCTAAAGACTACCATTGGATGAGATTGTTGAGAATCAGCAAATCAGAATTTCAAATATGTAGTTTACCTCTCTATCAAATGATTTGAGCTAGTATTAAAGGAGTCTTGCATTGAAAGGCTCTAAAAAAAAAGTAAGAAGTTTTAAAAAGTAGAAAAAATGAACAAGATCTACATATAACTAAAAAGGAAATAAATTACAATTAATATTGTGCAATGATTACATGTATAATAAGAAAATGATGCAACTTTAAACCAGAGGACGAAATGCAACTAATTATTTTGTTTCAGCACTACATAACAAACTCGAAATTATGACAAATCTGAAAGTTTAGCAAGCAGTCCTTCAGTTTGACTAATGAAGCTTGTCGATTTTCTCCCCACACTACAAGCTTAGCTATCATAGGATCGTAGTGCATGCTTACCGTGTCTCTCTCCTTCACTCCTGTTTCAACTCGCACTAGTTCCCAATATGTATTTAGCATGTATTTAGCATGCAACAATTTGGATACATATATTTATAGCTTAATTCATAATCCACGACTTAAGAGCATTACCTGTTGGAGAAATGGAGACTGGGTGGTAGTAATGGAGTGAACCAGTTGCAGGGAGGAAGCCCCTATAAACGTTTTCTGCGTATATTCTAGCCTCAAAGGCACGCCCTATCGCCAAAAAAATAAAACATATCAAGATAAATTACATGCTCAAAAAATCAGTTAATAGCACAAATAAACTTGACATGCACGAGTTACAATTATAGAAAATACTTGAGGAAATTATTTTACCTGAAGAAAACTGAAGCAGCTAGAACATGCCACAAGTAAAAAAAATAACAGAGAATGGACAACGTCAAACTCATAAAATAGCAGATCAACCGAAGCATACGAAACATTTTTCTCACTATTTCTATATGTATTATGTCGGATAAATCTGCTAGAAAAATATTTTTGTGTTTAGAAATGCATGCAAAATTATCATTCCACTATTTGTAGTCACTCAATGAATTTATCTGGACCCAAATATGGCAAGTCAATCTTCACTCCAAAGTCATTTCATCTCCTCTGATATTCAATATAAAACCGCCGGGGTATTGATTCTTCATCATTTAAAAGTTCATGATATAAGAGATTCACTTCATTCTCTCGATTCGGTGAGTCGGCATTGTGGTTGTGGGTGATCTCTCAAAGTTGTCTCCTCTCAACAGCGGTAAGTTTTTATTTGAATTGGAGAATCTTCCTTTACATGTCTTCCATCATAAGCTATTAAACACCCCTTTACAAGTGTCCCTTAGGCAGAATTGTGTCATTTTCTCTGAACAAAGGTTTCCGAAGATGTAGCATTGCGGATCAAGGATTGGCCAAGGGCCTAGATTTTAGTAGTGGATGTTGAGATAAATTTTTGGTGGAGGTAGGAATGTTATCATTTGAAAGATTATGGTTAGGACAAGGAAATGCGGTAAAAATGGTTAGGGCATTGAGTTCGTGGAAGATTTAGATTATTTGGATTCTAGGTTTAAACGCAAGAAAGACAAATCCCTAAAAATATAGGATTTGTCAGACTTTGATATCAAATGACACCAAACTGGGGCAACTAGTCGGCGTAAGAATGTTAGAAAATGGGTTAGAATGGTTGTAGGATGAGGAATGGAAGTGAAAAAGGGCAAATTAAATGTCGAAACAACTGTTTGGCGACTATCCGACCAAAAAATAGCATAGAGAAACAACGAAGGAAAGACAACACAGAGGTTCCACCACCTGTTTTCTTCAAGATATAGAGTCACCACTTGAAAAAAATAATAATAAAGGCTACAACTCTCCAAATATGAGAAAACGGGAAGAGAAGTCTCCAAATAATATAAACAAAGCAAAAATCTGTCCAACCAATCTAAAACAAAATCAATATATAATCTTCAAAGCAAAGTAGCATCAATACTAAGTAAAATAATATTAAATATGGGTCCATAACTCGACAGTAGTCAAACAAATAGGAAAAATCGAGCCGTTGAGAACATCACGAGATAGATTCATCCGTTCCAATCCACACATCGTATATATCGTGAAACTCAATGTCGTAGTAGCTTTCGCATCATCCAACCAGCACACAATCAAGGTCAAAACTAATAGAATCAATTAAGATACTAATAGAAGTATCTTTGCATCTCAAATACCCTTTTGTATAAAAACAAGTCATTTCAAATTTATCAAAAAAAAATAATTAGATGACTCATCCAGTTTATTTTACTTTCATTCATCTTAACTTGAAGATAAAAGCCCAAAAAACAAAAATTAGTTAAAACCACAGCTTAGCCTCATGCACTTGCATAAAATCCTATAAACAAGAGATAGGGATTTTGTAAGAATTACAATTAGAGTCAAATGATGAATAACAATAAAGATACACGACAATGCTATAGGATCACAAATAAATAGTGTGCACGAGATCAAAATTAGGATTATAATTGTGAGGAAAAGAATAGCGAGCACAAAACGAGACATAAGATAAATGAGACATAAGATCATGATAGTGATGCACAATCATATAATTATAACAACTATTAGAATTACAATCTTTTTTATAAAAATAATAAGAAGGAAAAAAAAAAACTGGAGCAGCTCTAACGGCGGGCTGTGCACGTGGATAGACGGAAAGGCTCCAAGTGGCATAAGAAGAGGTAGCAGGGAGGGAACGAATCAAAGCAACCCCGTTAGTTTTGAGAGCTAAGCCGCGAACCCGCCGCAGAGGAATAGGTAGAAGGCTACAGCGCAGACATGAAGATAGGCTCGCCAGGAGGAGGATTCCCGATTCTTCACAAAACGATCAACCATTCGCGCGGCCGAGATGTGCGGATCAATGCACAAATCATAAGCCGCAAGAGCGAGTCTGCAGGAGTGAGTGTTAAAGTGGGGAGTTTACTGAGCTTATTATAAATGGCCTCCGCGGGAAGAGATTTCCATATCCACACTGAGAGCACTTGTCTAAATCCTTCGCTGCAATGGGGACGGAGAAGAATTTTGCGGACAGGGTTAACGCTTTGCTTTTGTTGATCGAAGATGGGGAGGTAGATGAGCGCATCTGTTATAAAAGACCCAAGAAGGATGACAATGATGAGGAGGAAAGGAGCGGTGGGGTGAAATGTGAGACGAAAAAGAAGTTGGTGGCGAACTTGGATGATCCTATGGAGGAGCTGGAGCTGGATGATCCTATGGACGTGGATGATACACTGGAGGAGGTAGATGATCCTATGGAGGTGGATGATCCTCTGGACGTGAATGATACACTGGAGGAGGTGGATGATCCTATGGAAGAGGTAGATGATCCAGTGCAGGAGGTGGATGATCCAATGGACGTGGATGATCCTATGGCGGAGGTGGATGATCCTATGGAGCTGGATGTTCAATCACGATGTCCCTATTGCCACGCATTCCTACTTCTTTTAAAGTTGTATGAATGTATTAATTTCTGTATAAATAATATATTAATGATTTTTTAATTTTAATGTGCGAGTGAGGGCTCTTCAATTTATTGTCATTTAGAACATGTAATTTAGATTTAATATTCAAATTAATTGTTGCGATCTAAATTTACTTTTAGGCAATAATATGAATGAAGAAAAATGAATGTGCTCAAAATATGTTTATATTTCTCGAGATATTGTGTGTATGTACATGTATCAATGTTTTATTTTCATCTTATCATTTTAAAAATAACTTATATGTCAATATTTTAAAATTTTAAAGTGTTCATTACATAAACCCTAAACCCAAAACATTGCTATTTGCAAATCAAGCACTCCCTTTCATTCATTTTTCAAATTATCACTCAAGTATCAAAGATCATTCATGATAAAACCCCAACATATATTTTTTTTATTTTTATCAAATTCACAATGATTTAATCATGACACATGTAAATGCACTAATTTCGTAGTTAAGAAAATGACATAGGTGCTTGATTTGTAAAGGACGGAGAAGAATTTTGCGGACAGGGTTAACGCTTTGCTTTTGTTGATCGAAGATGGGGAGGTAGATGAGCGCATCTGTTATAAAAGACCCAAGAAGGATGACAATGATGAGGAGGAAAGGAGCGGTGGGGTGAAATGTGAGACGAAAAAGAAGTTGGTGGCGAACTTGGATGATCCTATGGAGGAGCTGGAGCTGGATGATCCTATGGACGTGGATGATACACTGGAGGAGGTAGATGATCCTATGGAGGTGGATGATCCTCTGGACGTGAATGATACACTGGAGGTGGATGATCCTATGGAAGAGGTGGATGATCCAATGGAGGTGGATGATCCTATGGAGCTGGATGTTCAATCACGGTGTCCCTACTGTCACTCATTCCTACTTTCGAAGTTGTATAAATACATTAATTTCTGTATAGACAATATATTAATGTTTTTTTTTTTAATGTACGAGTGAGGGCTCTTCAATTTATTGTCATTTAGAACATGTAATTTAGATTTAATATTCAAATTAATTGTTGCGATCTAAATTTACTTTTAGGCAATAATATGAATGAAGAAAAATGAATGTGCTCAAAATATGTTTATATTTCTCAAGATATTGTGTGTATGTACATGTATCAATGTTTTGTTTTCATCTTACCATTTTAAAAATAACTTATATGTCAATATTTTAAAATTTTAAAGTGTTCATTACATAAACCCTAAACCCAAAACATTGCTATCGGCAAATCAAGCACTCCCTTTCATTCATTTTTCAAATTATCACTCAAGTATCAAAGATCATTCATGATAAAACCCCAACATATATTTTTTTTATTTTTATCAAATTCACAATGATTTAATCATGACACATGTAAATGCACTAATTTCATAGTTAAGAAAATGACATAGGTGCTTGATTTGTAAATATCAATGCTGCTTGTGCTATGTATGTAATTATCCTAATTCTAAAATGCGTTTATTTATATATCATTTTAAACTAATTCATAAGTATTCTTTTAATATTAATAATAAAGAAAAAATTAAACTATTGAGTCATTAAGTTATTTTTATCTAGCATGCATCTTGATGTATGTTTTAATGATAAACATTCTAAATTTAAATTTATGATCATTTGGGCCCTAATTTCAACATAATTGGCCGTCTCGACAAGATGAAACTAATGCTACTAAAATTGGTTCAATTCGAGTCTAATCATACCAATTTCAAGGCATTAAAAACACATTAGTGTGCTTTGTATTGTTAATTAAAATATCAAATGAACTCCAATGTTAATTGAGTATTGGTTAATTGAGTATTGACGAGAGTGAGTATTGACGAGAGGAATCTAACGAGTTTAGATTGCTAAATTATGAGTTCATTGAGACATTTAATATTAAAAAGTCATATAAGATCAAGAGGAGTCAGCAGGTGTTGTATGGCTTGTTTATATTTCGAGCTCAGAAAGTGTGTTCGTGTTCGGCTCGTTTTCTTAACGAGTCGAAAAACAAGCCGTTCACGAACAAAGAGTCATTTTGACAATCCTAATCACGTATCCATAAGATGTTAAGGATTGGAGCAAGATTTAGATTGGAGCAAGATTTAAAAGTTTATATTAAAACATCATTTGAATCTAATTTAATAATTTTTATTTTATTTTCTAAATTAATACTTTTAATTTATTACAAATCTTTGTAGCCTTGTAGTCAATTAATTTTCTTAAAAATGCTACTCATCAAAGATATATATATAATTGATCAGTAGTATATCGAGCCAAAACGAGTCGAACACTAACGAACAAATATTTTTTCGTGTTGTTCATGTTCGTCTTGTTAACATAGTGAACGAGTTGAACACAAGCTGTTCGCGAACAACGAGCCATTTTGACAACCCTAGTTGGGTGGATGTCCGCAAAAATGGCCCCAAAATAGACTCTCTCTTCAGAGGAGGAGGAGAAATTTCAAAGCCCGTTATCGAGAAAAGAACTGTCAATAACTACCAGCCTCCATAACCAGCGACCACCATCGGCTATCACCACCTGTTGTCGCCGACCAACAGACACCAAAAACCCCACTTTTAAACAACGTATTCTAATATGATTGTAACGTCTTACACCAATATTGAGACCTGAAGACAACTGCCAACCTCCATAGCTGTCAATAGTCTTTGACAGTTGTTGAACACCATTTGTCGTCACCAACAACTGATTATCAGTAACCTCTGGTCATGCTTGCAAACATCATATCCAAATATGATTGTAACATCTAAACACATGTATTAAAGACATTATAATAATTATAGGCCTCTGTAGACGTCGAACATCTTCGACCACTGCCTATTTGCCTCTTTCGACCACCACAGACCATCACCTCCGATCGCCGCTGCTGACCATCAGTTATGGACAACCCTTGCTTACAAACATCATATTCCAAATGTGGTTGTAGCATCCAAAAAAAAGTATTGAAGGTCGGTGATAACTGCTAGCCACTATAGCCCCTGATTACCGTCAACTACCTCACACCATCAGACATCGACACTAGCCATTTTTTAATACAACAATCACTGCTTATAACTATCGTAATCATAATATGACATTTGTCATAACACTTATATTTTTTCCTTACGTTGCATACCGACAAGTGGTGTCTCTGTTGTACAACTATAACCTAGTTCTCAATGTCTTAACAAAAGGGGTCAAACCACCAACTAAGGCTTTTAAGGACAATTACTGTTATTGTAACTTACAACAACGGCCTCTACAATTAACTTACTCTCTTGCAGGTACCAACTACAGTCATTGTTGCCAACTACTATTATTAAAGCTTCCAAATTAGGTCTTTGTGGCCAACCGAAATACTTGCAAGCACCAACTATGCCCTTTTATGGCTGGCTGCTACAGTTAAAACTTCCCATTATAGCCTATCTGAAATGTTTGTTATTGGGACAAGGAGTATGAATAAACGCCAATAAATGTGTCGTCGACTTCTTCAAGAAATTGAATTTGTATGCTTTTTGTTTGTTTTTTTCTTCTTTAAATATTTAGGTCTCATATTCATAATGATATATATAGTAAATCTATTGATAAAAGTTATACTTGCCATGTAGAACTTCATGAATTTGTGTGGTTTGGGGCTGATGTAACTTTTTTGGCTTTCATTTATTTATTATTTTTATTTGTGACAAACCAACCTGAAAATAGCATAATGCAATGAGATAATATTAGATATATTTAGATTTCATTTCAAATTCGGATTTTAGATAAGATCTCATATTTTGTTATCTATTTTGGTTTTGAGGTTTAGGTGTGTAGCTTTTGGTCCATACTCTTTAGCATTAATCTTAACAAGAAATATTTTGGAAGGTTTATTTGTTTTGAGAATCATTTATTCCTGTCTTATTTTTAAGCTTTGTCCACTTTGGGGTAAGAGTAATGGCAGACGTGGCATGCACTGCCTCCCTTGGCATGAATTATGCAAACCACAAATTGTAGGTGGTCTCGGTTTCAATGCAACCGCAGAATGGAGGGATGCCACTCAGAGCAAGGCTCGCCTGAACTTTCTCACACAAACTAACACTCTAATGCATAAAATATTGGCCAATAACTATGGAATGGATCTGTGGGGCTATCATAGTAAAATGAGTGATTCAATCTCTTAGAACATATTGCGGGATGGGGTATAAAGCCTGAATAAAATTATAAGATGGAAAGTTTGAATTTGGTGAGGACATCAATGTCTTTGACTAGAAATAGATCGGGAACAACCAGCTAAATATCTGGCTAACATTCATTACTGCTTCCTTGGATGAACATCTCATTGTCTAGGCATTCTTCAACAATCGTGAATTGGATGGGGAGAAGCTTCGGGAGTTT